GGGCACGGTCATCCAAGGGAAAACTCTATGGTTTTCCCTCGGATGGTCGTGGCCCCGCCCCCAGCGTGCCCGGCGTGATCGCGTCACTTCCGGGTGACGTGCTCGTGGCGCGCGCGCGCACTCCTGGATCGGCGCTGGAGTCCCCTGCTCCAGTGCCGATCCGACTTGGGAACCCTAAGATGGTTAGCCATGTTAGTCTGTCTGTAGCAGTAGAAAAGAGCAAGAGTCCAGTCGCACCTTAAAGACTAACAAAATATGTGAGCTTTTGTGAGTCACTGTTCACTTCTTCAGATACTCACTTCGGAAGAAGTGAGCAGTGACTCCCGAAAGCTCCTACCCTGCCACAAATTCTGTTAGTCTTTAAGGTGCGACTGGACTCTTGCTATTTTCTACTGCCTACAAAGTTAGACCAACCTGGCTACCCGTTTTTTTAAAAAAGCTGTGGACTGCTCATACTTAGGGAACTTTGTCCATAATAAAGAGAAGCTTGATTGTGAGAAGACCTTTCCCATACATTTGAAACTCCAGAATTGCGTACGACCATTCCTGAGCAGTTTCAAAAATCTCAGTTTGGTAAAACAGCCGGAGCGTCTGATGACAGCTAGAAGTTATTTTTCTTTCTTTTTCAACAAAAGGGCAAGTTGCAAAAATATAATGCCTGTCGGTCTTATTTTTTCCGGTAAAACTGAAGTCACTGCCTGGAGAAGGAACCGTAATGACCGTTAAAGACAAATCTAACCTGTTCTCCCAGCTCTTATGTTTAATAATTAAGATAATTAAAATGAAGGCAAAACGGTCAGGTAACCGTGACTATACTCTGCGCCACAATGGGCCCCTTTCATGTCCGCTTCATTTAACAGAGGGGTTTTTAAAGGTAAAAGTAAAGGTTTCCCTTGCTCGAAAGCCAGTCGAATCCGACTCTAGGGTTCCAGTGCTCATCTCCATTTCAAAGCCGAAGAGCCAGCGCTGTCCGAAGACATTTCCGTGGTCATGTGGCCAGCATGACTAAACACCGAGGCGCACGGAACGCTGTTACCTTCCCACCAAAGTGGTACCTATTTATCTACTTGCAATTTCTTGCTTTCGAACTGCTAGGTTGGCAGGAGCTGGAACTAGAGATGGGAGCTCACTCCGTCATGCGGCACACTCGGGTCTTGAACTGCTGAACTACCGACCTTCCACAGCCTGCAGTTCAGCATCTTAACCACTTGAAAAATGCAGATTATTGTTGTGGTTAAAAGACGGTGAACGGCACCGGGCTTTTCTCAAACCACAGTGCCTTTTCTTCGCCGTGCCTCTCCTTCATTTCTCGGCACTGCCTTCCGAAAGGCCTCTCCTGGCCAGCTTCTGCCAGCTGTTAGCAACTGAGGCACACCCGCCTCCCCCTCGGTGCCATCCCGCTGGTTGTGAGGTGCCGTTTTATCCAAGCAGGCAAAAGTCCCCGCTGGAGTCAGCAATCTGTGCCTGACGTCACCGTATGGAAAAAAAAAAACGGCTGTCAAGTTAATGACAAACGGA